GTGTTACAAACTTTGCTGTGGGATATGTAATGGAAATGCAAAATGCAACTTTGTTAGCTGGCATCCTTGTATAATCCTGCCTAATGTTAATCCTGCAGGACTTGTTCAAGGGCTAAAAGCACTCTGAATAGTTGGAGTGTGACCATTTCAGACATTCCTCTTGCACAGGTGCATTTTTACAGACAGAAGACACAATGGCTCCATTGGACCATGCCTCCAAAGTATGTTGCCACTGCAGAAATGGCCTGTATGGTTCCATGAAGATAATTAAGAAATACAGTTCTGTGAAAGGATATTAGACCACACTTCCCGACAGCGAGAATAAATTGAAGAGTGCACAGTTTGGTGAGGGAAGGGGAATGTGCAGATCTGGCCTCTCCCAGAGGACTGCAGGAAAGCCCGACTGCTTACACAAGCGGCTGTGGATGTCCCCCTCCTTGCTTTTCCTCATGGGGTTCCTCCTGATAAGACAGGGGTGGTTCTATTGCATCAGTTGCTGACAGCGTTTTGTGCCACTACTACCAAATCTGTCCTAACACATTTTTCAAGGGTAAATCTAAACGTTTCCTGACAGCATGTTGTTGGTGTGCCAAGGGTTAGTATCTCCTTATCATGAGGAAGCAGTTTGGTTTCAAGGGGTGGCCCAGATGACCAGATTGCCCCGGCTCTCAGCTCTCTCCTGATTAACACTCCTCCAGCTGAAGGAGTGAGTTTACAGCAGGGCAGGAGAGAGTATGTTCAGAGGTATCATTTATAAAAGTATTGGCAGTGCGTGACTCAGTCTTTTATATTGATTTATGTTATTACATTGCTCTGGTAATCGAATGTCCCAGATAGACATGAGGTTTCATTGCATTAGATTTTGTCATGTCAGACACTATTTTTTTTCCAGTCTTTTGGCCTCATTCACTGCTTTATCCTGTTCAACTACAGTGAAGGGGCAGTTTGCTAAAGATTGCAGTGAGAATAAGATCAGGCCAAATCATCACCACAAATCAAATTTGTGGTGCCTCAAAAAAGTACGTCCTTGTGCTGCCAGGATTCCTGTGAAGATCTGAAGTTTTTTTTTGTGACCAAAAGGTCAAAAAATCTGCTTAGGAAACTCTTACCTGCTGCTAACAAAGTCGGCGCTCGCCTGCACGGGGGTGAGCCCGGGTGGCCGGCGGGCTCAGCCGGGGCTGGGTCCAGCGATGCGGCTGCAGCCGGGGCCTGGCGCGGGTTGCACACAGCCGCGCTGCAGGCCCGTCCCCCGGCCACGCTCTGCGGCAGCATTTTGGCGAACGCACGCTGCCCCTCTGCCCCACCATATCTGGTTACTGAGGCGTTGCTCCGCCAACCGTCATCCTGCTGAGTGACACGCGCCAAGAGCCGCCAGGCATGAGACACACTCGGTTGCCCCTCAGCCATCCTCAGGTTTCTCTTGCTTGGGTGGGATGGATTTAAGATCATGAGTGTCCTGAGGAGGGGTAAAAATGCCATTCAAAGGTGTGAGGAATGAAGCCAATTCCCCCCCTGGATGGGAAGAGTGAGGGAAGCTTGGGGCTTTCCCCAGCTTACTCTTAAATTTCCACCCTTAAGTGAGTGTGTGTATATTTACGAGAAAATTAAGCAGACGCTACACATTGCCCGATACAGTGAATTACAGGGATAAGATATTCCAGCCTCTTGATTTCACAGATTTATCCAAATGTGAGCAGTAGCCCTCCGCAGACAAAATAGGAAGTGAATGTAATGGATAGCTAAAAGGGGATCATCAGGTGGCAATAGTTTGGCGGTGAGGAAAGTGCTCGTTTCAGGCTGCAGGAACAGAAAGTGCTGCTGCTGTCACTGCTCCCAAAATGGCACAGCTTGGTCCTTCATCCACTCGGGCTCCGTGGAGCCGGGCAGGCCAGCGCCCCGTGGCAGCACCACCCTTTGCTGGTCTGCTGGAAGCCGCCGGGACGCCTCGGGGACAGAGGACACTTGGGCTCTCTGGGAAGCAGGTGCCTCATTGGCACCCAGGTTCCTTTAGCACCCTTCTGAGAGGAATCTTAAAACTTTGTCTGAATTAGTGCTGCAGCGGGTAGCCCTTAAGGAAATTAGTCACAGTATGTTGTACTGGCGTGAACACAATCCCGTGGGTGTATTTTTCCTACACGTATGCTATTTAACCTGACGTGGCTCTAGCTACACTATAGTGAACTTTGTGGCACAATTTAGTTTGTTGATTTTAAAGCTATTATGGTGTGATTTCTTGGTTACCTCAGAGCATTGCAAAAGACTTAATGGCTTAAGCAGTCAAAAACTAAATGCATTTTATTTGAGCTCTGTGTTAATGCACAAAATCTTGAATAAGACATGCAAGGAAGTTATAATGCATTACCATAACAAAAGCAGCAGTACACCATTAATCCTGGTGGGATTTTTTCAGTAATTTTAAAAATTTTTATGGAGCAGCAAATGAGAGAATTATTAATTCTGGCAAAAGGAAGAAATGGTATTCTTAAAATGAAACTCAAAATATATTTTTCTGTGTAATTTCCTCAAGTCTTTGGCACGGAGATACCATCCATTCAAACTACTACACTGGGTAATTTTCCTTCCCAGCTCTTTTATATTGCCAGCAAGTATCATTATATGTCAATATGGTGATAGATTTATGTACTAAAATAAAATCCTGTTTGGATTTTGTTCTCTTTCTTCGTTATAAAGATAAGAGCTCTTTTCTTCACTGGTAATCAAAGTCTAGAGATACTATGAAATGAGCTTGCCTTTCCTTGATCAAGTCAAGGACTTTTCCTTTGCCTTACCATTTCCTAGACTATGAATTGCTTAATCATTTTCTTGGTTGTCATAATCAGGTCCATTTGATTTTCACAGTTGTTCCTACTTGATGTTTTCACTTGTATTTTATTAAAGTAATTTTCCAAAGCAGCGACACAAAAAGAAGCAGGGTGAGGTCATTTATGTTGGAGACAAACTGGAGACAAACCAGTAACTCCAGCTGCCCACTTCCTGTCACCCTTGTGCACACATGCAAAGGTCTCCAACTGATTGAACCCACAGCTCTGCAGCTCAGGCCCTCTCTAAATCTGAGAAATTACAACATACATCTCAGGACACTAGTTAGAGAGCTTTTTAAAGAGATTCTGATTGAAATAGCTCTGTATAGGAAGCTGTATTCTGCCCAGCAGATTTGTTCCCATTTCTCAAATGTGTGGCCATTTTGATCTCTTCGTGAAATTTAATTTTTTTGCCATCACAAGCAAGATGCCTCCTCTGAAACCAGTCAAGCTGATATAGCTGTGTCTCTGTTCTCACTTTTCCCACAAGTACCATCAGATTGTTTTTCTGGAGAACTGAGCAGAGTGAAAATTTTTATCTTCCCGTTCATGGCAGTTAAAGGGATGATGCAGTTCTTGCACTCAGGCAGAGACAAGTGGTGTGGTTTTCAGGATCACTCATTAAGAAGGTATCAGTTACCTGAGGGAATTATTGGCCTCTGTAATTCTTTCTGTAAGCTTATGAACAGAAAGAGACATTTTACTAGCTTTGCTTAATAGGTAATAGGAATAGGTATTGTTGATGACGATGGTAGGAATATCTGACTGAACGTTGATTTGTCTGCTTTTTAATTAACACAGAAGTGGAGACTGCTTTCAAATACTGAGCTCCTCATTCCCATGTTCATGGGTGAGCTCCTATTTTCTTCATGATTCTGCATCAGGGATTGATGTTATTAGGAAAATAAGCTTTTATGACAAAAAGATTCTTGTTCATAAAGGTGGAGGTCTAAGACTAAGCTGAAATATTATATTTTAGTTGTTGTGCTTATCTGTAGTTTGTGCTCCCTCTTCTACACTTTCAATTAACAATTTTTCCTTCAGTTCCAAGTTAGGAGAATAAGACTAAATGACATCTCATTTTTTTTCAGGTATAAATTGCTTGCAATATCTCAAAACTTATTTCATATGGAAAGTTAGACATAAATGTGGCACCTGTTTTGGAACAGAATAAAGAAAGGTCTTGGTATGATTTTATTGTGCTTCTTATAAATGCACTGCATCGAACTAAGTTGAGTCTTGACTTCTGTCAGTGTGCTTAGCAGGTTAGTGACATGAGGCGACAAGAGTACACAAGCTAACCAGGTATAAGATCATTTGATTGTGGCAAGTGATTAGTTATTCATTTCACATCTTCTGGTATGATGATTGTTGCCATTGCATTATGGTGGTGAGTCACAGACCAAGATGTTGGATACACACTCTGTTTAGCTGAAAAGGCAGACCTAAGAGTATGTCCCACTGAATGCAGCTGACTGCAGCAGACGTGGTATTTTGCATTAAAGCAATTCAGCTTTTGAGTATGTTGGGAACATGGATTTGAAAATTTTCTGTTCTTTACAGAGGAAGTGTGAGGAACTGTAAGTGTTTAGAGCACTGCTTTTACTGTACAGTCAAAGGCATGCAAATGTCAAAGAAGAAACTATATCTGTAGCAAGATGTGCTGCAAAACCCCAACAGATGATGGTCATTTATGTAATTTAATGAAGACACTTCATCATTTCAGTCAAATAACATTTAACTTACATAGTGGGGTCAACTGGAAACCTAATTTCTGTTCTAATGCTTTATGTTGTTCCTTGTAGAGTCTGACTTTATCTTCTTCAGACCTTTTCCACCGCTGACTATTATTCAGTTGTCACTGCTAGAGCCATTTGCAAAGCTGAGTACTGCTCTGCTGGAGAAATAGTGAAACTGGTGCCACAAGTGTGTGACTTAAATGTACAGCCAGACCAAAGTGCTTTATTTTTCTGTGCATATATGTCTAATAATTCTCTATTAGATCTGCAGGTGAAACAAAAGATCAATTATCACATAATTTATTTTGAAACACTGATAGCATAGCACTGTTACAATACTGTTTCAATTCAAAATATTTCATTTATTAATTTAAATCAGGCATATATCAGCTAAACTAGACAAATAAACCATATTTATTAGCCAAATCAACAGTAACCAATTAATAATTGCCATTAACAGTAGTGATTTTGTTGCAAAAAACAACAGAAATTTCATACAATTCTTTGTGGGAAGCTGAGTACTGATTAATTTCACTCTGTACAATTACTTTCCTTATCACAGTTTACTTAATACATCAGAAGGAATGTGAAGATTCATTAAAAATTTTAAAGTACATTTCACTGTTAGAAGTCATGTATTAAAGTGGTTTAGTTGCCTACCACAGAAAGAATATAGATTAATTCCACTAAAAGCACTAGTTGAATGCCACAGTAAATTACAACAGCTTCTGGCAGGACAAGAATACTGTATCTAAGAGCACATGCGTGTTCTCATTTCTTTGGTAGATTTTTCTATAGTCTTTAGATGTGTTGTTCTTGATGGGTAGACTGTGCTCCGGATTTGCTCCATTTGTCTGGAATTAGTCTCTCACCACTCTGCCTTTCAGCAGTTGGGGTTGCCGGTGATTGCTCAGTATGGGACAAGGTCCTTCCCCTTCAGCAGAAGACAGAATTGTGCGGAATTGAGACAACTAAATGGGACAAGGAAGGAAGAGATACATTTAGCTTTTCATTTTTATATTGTGTGTCTGAGAAACTGTTATACTTCCCAACTAAATTTCTATTTTTCAGAAAAATTAAGCTTTATAATATTGAATTAATCCAGTGGGGAGTCAGGATTTATGCTGCCACAGAAGTACTGGAATGAACAACCATCTCTGAATATCCTACTGGCCCCTATATTCAACTACCACAGAAATTTTCAGACACTGGTACTACTGTGTTATCACTTATGTTAAAAGAAATTTAGTTTGATAAATTAAAAATATCAATCACCATTTCTGAAAGTAAAAAGCAAGGCTTTAGAATAATTCAACTTTGCTCTAAACATTGCTTTTTATGTCAAACTATTTGTAATTAATTTGTACATTGAATAGCCCAATGAATAACACCTTGAACAAATATTAAGGATCTTCATAATAACCAATTTATTTCTACATGCATGCTTTTTATTTTAAAAGATTCAAAGTACTTAACTAGCCTTATCTGGAAAAAATATTAATTCAAACACCTTTGGAAGGACAAGTAGCAATAACTCCATAAGACAGTTTCGTAAGAGTTTAGAACAGAAAGAATACCTGCCTCGATAAGGCCAGTGATGGATATTTAGCTTATCCTACAGACATTGTTAGGAAATAATGCAATAATAAACCAATCGGTACAGCTTCTAACCACTCTACAATAGCACTGGAGAACTATACCGTGGCTATTTGATCTTGTGGCACATCACAAAACTCCCTACTCAGGCAGGTTTATGACTGAGATTTGATGAAAATATGAATTTCTTTTGGGGAGTCTTCTGAGAATGAAGATGGGAAGAATTCAGCTTTCTGCCCAGCTTCTGCTTTGGGAGACACAGCACTGTAAGGAAGTTTATATAAGCAAATTGCCTTTCCTGAAGTAATGGAAGTAACTCCACCAATCTGAAGTCTTCTTATCTCAATTCCCACAAGACTTTGTAAGATGTGAGTAGCCTAACCTGGCTAAGGCAGAATCATAAGTGTTGATTAAAAGCAACAATGTGGTGTAAAGGTAGTACTCATTTAACAGTAAAAATTAGACAAATAGACCTAATAAAATGCAGTAGTACTGTGTGAAGTGATAATGTCCCTGAAGCTGAAAGACAAGAAAGGTCTTGTTCCTTGTAAGAACATACCTGCTTTGAGTTGATAGTAATTGGCTCTTTAAGGATAACCCAGATGACACTTTCATGGAGGGGAGGATGAGTCAGAGAGCCATTGTAGGTCCAGTAATCCATGGATTTAGGCAGTAGGCTTGAAGGATCAAAATCAGAAAAGAGAGATTTCTTACCCTGTGGAAGATACGTTGGGTTAATGAAACCCATGAGTAAAATAGGATTTACATCCCAGGCCACAAAGGAGTGTGTTCCTAAATCAGAGGAAGTAATTTGAAAACACTAATGTTTTCTCATAGCATCAGAGGTGAGTTGCTCACAGAGGTGATGTTTGACACTGAGCTACATCTAGGCTGGCACCACTGACAATGAGCAGTGTTACTCAAAAAAAAACAAACACGAAACAATTTCCTCCCCCCAGTAGGATCAGATAACAAAGAGTTCAATCATCACTGACTAAAGGGGTTTTTATTTGAGTTTTGTTTTGTTGTTTTTTTTTTTTTTTTTTTTCAAAATACTGAACTCTGTGTTCCTGAACAGGCAAAACACTTCAGTGTATAATTAATTTTCAGCTGTCTGTTGAGGCTAAAGGAATGATTCACACATGTCAATAATGTTTTCATGTTCAGGGTCAAAGTCTACATTCCTTTTTAAAAATCCTGTGGGACATACTGTATTTTATTTTTAACATGCTTCAATAAAATTCATATATTCAGATTTTATCTCTGCTTACCTTGTGTCTTTATGAGAGGCTTAGTGGAAATAGTCACTGTTACAAGACAGTTTAAGAAACGTGTAGTTCTGGCGTTATTTCTTCTCCCTTTTTTTCCTTCCTTTAACTGAGAGAAACCTCAGTTTGGTTACTCTGAGGCTGTGCTGGTGATGGACACCGGGGTAATTTTAAACAGACAGATGGATGGAAGCATAGGATTAAGTAGGAATCAGGAACTGTGTACTCTTAAACAAAGAACCCATAGCTGCCTACAGGGTGGAGCCTCAGCAATACAAAATATCTTATGGGATCCTACAAACTCATGTCTAGGATCATGCTTTCAGCTCCCACTTCTCTACAGCCTCCTTCAGCTGAACTCCTGCATTATTCTGAAGTCTTCAAAAAGGCAGATGAGAGACTGCATAGATTTTAATTTAACTCCTCTATATATTATCATGATCAGACTATGATGATGTTTACCTTAGTCTTTATTGAATCCAAGGGCTTCAGGATGTCCTTCAGGTTTTCATTGCATAAGCCAAGCTGTAAATTAAAAAATACTTTAAAATCCTAAATATGTAACAATAGTTTTATTCTGAATCAAGAATAAGAATATGCTTTATAAATGTTGATTAGCTTAACTTTTCAAACCCACTATGAATGAGACAAAATTTAGAACTTTTGATGAAATAGCAGGAAGTTTTGTTTCTGCTTTGCAGAGTAATGCAAATAGTAGTGCAAAAATAATCTATGGTTCAGAAGTATATGATTGCTTTAATCATATGTGCTTACTCTTGAAATTCACTTTGAAAGCATTCAGAGAGGTGGTTTTGCTGGTACCTTTTTTGCAATGTGAACTATGAGTAATTGTATTTTAGCAGTATATAATAATATATATTATTGTTTAATGGTATTTTGTTAATGTAACAAAGTTCTTAATAATAAGGAATTCTTTTTCCTGCCTTGGTTTTGAAAGGCTAAATATATTATGTGCATACATTCAAGATTTCTTGTAGGGCTGACTTAGAATTTTCTTTTCTGGTTGATAGACAGTAATAGCACAAGTGACTCAAACTGTCTTTCTGTGAAACTTTGCATCGCTGTAAATGGAGTGCAAGGCAAAGATAGAAGGTGTGAGCATTGCCTCTTACAAAGGTGGATGAAACACCCACCACAAGCTCACTAGCACCCATGCTTTAAAGCACAGCTCTTCTTGAAGGGTCTGTGGATGAAATGGGGATTTGGTAAAACGCTGACGTGGAAGCATGAACAAAGTTGGCAATAGGGGCTAAATCAGGATAAGAGACAGTCAACTCCACTCATTTAACACAAAGTTGTGTTTTTCCTAGTTCCCGTCACTGACTGCAGTTTTGATAAGGAAAGGGAAGAAAGACACATGTATTTTCAGTACGTCAGTAACTGACCTTCAGGAAAACAGCGACAATTGCCAAGCCATCCGGTTTGTCGAAAGCCTCAGCTACATTTGAATACTTGTCTGCGTTCCAGTGAATAAGATGAGGCTAAAGATCAATTGAAAGGATCACTTTTGTTGGTTCTATTACAGAGAAATGCCACAAGTAGAGTAAAATAGTTAGAAATACCACTCTGCACTTAGGGTCTGACTGTGAAACTGAGAACATGCTTGTGAACGCCTGCAGATTTATGATGTTCGGCTGAATTGCCCTGGCATTGTCAGCACTCGTACCCAGGCTTTATCTTGGGGTAGGCAGAACTGCACCTATCCCTGAAAGCAATTTGGGGGTAAGTACACAGAGATGTGGAAAATCACAACTTACAAGAGGCATATATTTTTCTAACTCTATTGCTAACAGCCTCTTGTGCATGCCTTTATTTCCATGTCTTTAAAAATGTAATACCTTAAAAGCATTTTGAGGAGTGTAACCACTTTGTTACACATGGTGCAATATTTATTCACAATAGTCCCATTTACTGTGACTGATGGTATGACCATGAACATCATGGCTGTGGATGCTTTATATTCAACATAAATCTTTCAACAAGTATTTGACAGTATTTGCTTTAATAGAGTTTTAAGGAACTTTTGTTCAGCCTAATATGTTGCATATTATATCTTGAGCTATTTTTGATGAAATATAAATTTCAAAAACTCACAGAACTTGGAAATCATAAGAATTTCTTTATATGCCTTCTTACCTATTAATATGCTTAGCAATTCCTTAGCAAGTATGAACTCTATGGTGATAGTCTAGTCCTGGATTATTTGTATGCTGTTTCAGCAACGTGGTCATAAAAAATATCAAAACTTCTTAAAACGCAAGGAGGAGATTCTAAAATATAGAGACAGAACATGGAAATTATCATATAATGCACATAATCTTAAAATTCTGATTTATATCATTTTTTTGGGTTTTAATTTGTGGTATTTTTTTGAAGCTGAATTGTTGTCTTTTCAACTTAATATCTTTACTGTTTCAACATATTTTAAACTATTGATTCAAAGCAAACTAATAAACACTTAATCATATGCTGCTTAAACACGATTGAAGCGCACTATCTCTTTACAGCAGAAAGCAATTCTAAAGGGACGCCCCTTTCTTATCTTGGCTGTATCAAATGAGATAGCTTTAGCACTCTCAACAGCGGAAAATTTCCTATTAGGAGCACACTTCTGGCTGCGTGTTCCTAATGCCTACATTAAAAATGTATAATCCATCTCATTAGTGTGTCATGTTGTAATGTTCTTAAAATCTAAAAAGCTGCCAAAGATAACATTACATGGATCAAACATTAATTGTTTGCTGGCATGTTGCTGACCATCAGCAGGACACTAAGGCACCAGAAAACAAACAAAATCTGTTACTTTAGAAGTAGTTTTTAATTTTTGTAAAACAGATCTTGCCTCATTATTTGAAAACATTTAATGTACTTGACAGCTGCTGAGGCCCTTACTAGATAACTTTTTTACCTCTTCCTTTTCACTAATTTCTTCTGGGTTTCCTTTTTATTTGCTGCTCTTGAAAAGCCAGAAAAAAAACAAACAAACAAACAAACAAAAAAAAAAAACAACCAAACAAACAAAAAAACAAACAAACAAACAAACAAAACACCTTACAGTGATCAGCATGCTTGTAACTTTGAGAAGTTCCAGATACAATTATAGTGGGGTACTGGGTGATTAGACTCTGAAAAGCAGCTGATTTAGTATTAAGCTGAATGTACTTGCACAGCTGACCTTTTTAACATTTAACGGATGTTACTTTTCTATCTGCACATTTTATCTCTATTTAATTGTTTTAATATGGATTTAGATTATCTAAATTTAAATGTAAAAGTACTGGCCACAAAATCCAATTTGCTCTTGCAAAGTCAACTTTGCACACATAGAGATAGTACTGCTTTTGCAAAATAAAATAACTACCAAGGCTACCTACATATGCTTTTTTTTTTTTTTTTTTTTTAATCTAGGGGTGATATAAGTGTAGAGACTTTGAAAACTTGACTTCAACTTTTCTTTCATTGGCTCTACCTCTGAGGCATATTTCTTTCCATCAGCTGTGTGCTCTGAGCCTTGCTCATCAGTTTGGCCCCAATGGAAATGAAACCGCCGCAATCTATACGTTCCAGTGAGAGGTCTGCCATTGAGCACTGCAAACGTATGAAGTATGGTAAAAGCACCAATCAATAAAGTCTTCCTGACAGGCAAGTTATAGATTTCAAAGATTTTATAAAATGCAGCAGTTTACTCCATGTTAACGTGTTTTGATACTAGAATATTTTTAAACAACTGGAGAAAAAAAGTCCCAACAGTTTGTGCAGTTCAGCCAAAGTTATTGAAGGTTTTAATTGTAGATATGTGTATGAGTCCATTGGTTATAGTAAATCTGCATGTCTCCTTGATACAGCTCCAAAATTCAGGTGGAATATGTGAATACACCTTCTAACCCAGAGAGAAAACAAAAGGAAAAATAATGCAGAAAACCAGCAGTTTTCCAGAAACAGTAACTGGATTTTAATAACTGCAGAACAAACCATCCAATTCACTTCTCACTAAAATTTGCATTATTTATGACAGTATTTAAAAGGTCTCTTTCTCCACAGAGGTAACAGTTATAGTTACTTGATGTTGCCTGAATTTAGATTATGAGATGCCACAGGTGTACTTGGGTGTTAATGACTCTGTTTATTGGTTTATTGGTCATTATCATCAATTCCTTGCTTACAAGCCCATAAATGTGTATTGATTCCCACTGTGGTGATAGGCACCTGTAATTGTGCATGATGCTTGGAAATACGTGCCTGTAGTTCTCGCAGCTCTTGAAATATTATACATCAGCACAAAAAAATCTCCTCCTTTGCTATCAAGGTAGTAAGACACTGAGGAAAAAAACCTATTCCAGAGTGATTTCCTATGGAGTTATACTGTGAGTAACTTTTACATATGTATAAATCTCCCACAGAATGTTGATTTAAAATAAAAGCACAACCAAGTAACTGTGTTTAGAAACTCTACTCCTACTTTCCCTGACCCTAATCAGTGAATTTCCTGGAGGTTTCCTACTGGAAAATTACCAATCCTTTTGCCATTAACACAAGAACACTTGCCAACAAGTCCTAATTTTAAAGAACATAATTTGGACCTTCTGTGACACTTAAAGGGTGTTGCCAACTGGTGTAACAAAATTAGTAAGCATACCCTAATCTATATAAATACTCCTGAAAGGCAACTAGTCTTATTTTCTATATAAAGAAAAAAAGAATGAAGAAAAATAAAGTGTCTCACATCTCCCCCTCCAGATCCCCTTTTTACTAACCCGATTGATTGTCCTTATCCTCAAAATTCACATGGAATGAATGACTGACATTGATGATCTCTTTGCATGTGGAAGGTTTCCAAGTGATCCAGAGAAGCCCCAGAGATGCATCTTTTTTGACTTCCTTGGGTTTAATATCAACAGGAGATTGATGGTCTCCATTGGCAATAGGGCAATAACTTGTGCCAGTGGTCAGGTCCTAGGTAAAATAAATAAATAATTGAAGTTTTCTACTTCTAAATCTGTACCAATACCGAATTCACGACCCTTGGAACCAATTGTATACATAATACAGACACCTGATATGTTAATAATCCATGTAATTCTGAAGAATTTTAATAAGGAAAAGAAATAGATATTCAGTATATTATAAATAAATCTGATTTTCTATTAAAGATAATTTTACCACTGTTGCCTTGATAACTCCAGTTCAAGCTTGCCATTTTTTTACTATTGCAAGGCACTGTCTTATTTAAAAAGAAACTACTGGTGCTGATGAAAGCTGTTAAGATCTCTGCTTTGATTTTCTTCTGAATTTACAACTTATGCCTGGGCTTTTATATACCTGCTTAAACAGTAAAACCAGTAATATTTTCTAATCAACCTTTATTGATTTCAAATGATTTCAGAATGGCATGAGAAACTGTGACAAGAGAAAGGATTGTAATAAGGAAACAGTGTGGTTTGAGATCTGTTTACTTTTTGATTCAGTACATATATTAAGACAGATATAAGTTAGATGCCAAATTAAAATATACATAATTCTAACTGTTCAAATGTTGTCCAAAGACCTTTACACTGAATCTTCACAATCCAAAGGAAAATTATGGTATAAAAGTGCAGACTACACAGAAAGCAATGGATGCTGAGCCTTTTTGAAAATCCATATCAAAGAGTTAAGACATCTACGTGTGGGTTTTAGAATATTAATTTTGACAATCCCTAAAAAATAGTAAAGCTCAGTACCTTTTAGTGGTGGAAAAGAAGTAACAATGTCAGTGTGCGAAAAAATGGTCAATTTATTATTAAATGCTACATTAACATGACTAGCAATGCTCTCATTAATGAAAGAGGAGGTCCACAGCTTACTAAATCCTACCAGCTTCAGATATTTTGGGAATGATCTCAAACCATTTTTGTACTGCTGGGAATCTTCAAGGCAATCTTCTTGGTGACTGATACCTGATTAAGTGCATGGTTGAAATCTAACTTCCGAAGTTTTCTCCTGAAGTAGGTCCTATCTGGCAGTTCAAGAATATTTACACACAATCACCTGTTTCTTCAGTAGTAAGATACCATGCCCTATACTCTGTTTTAAAGCTAAGTCCTACCAACACATATGGCATTTTGTCTGGGTTAAACTCTATCTCATACGTGTTTAAAAGCAGGATTGTATTTTTAGGACCATATGCTTAACAACTACTGCAGCATAGTTAAATAATTGTGGTATTATCTATATTTGTAACCATTTGAGCTGAGTTTATGGAGTAATTATTTCTGTATAAAATAAGGTTTATCATAGACTGTGTAAGCATTGCCTTGTCATCCTGAGTTGCAAAAATGGAACCTGTTGACATTTTCCTGTTTTTCTTACAGACTATTCTCAGTAATAGGAAACTACTGATATCTGTCTTTGCAGATGTCCACAGCTGACGTCAGGAATTTCAGATACCATTGTGCAAGTAATGTTATAACCTGTAAAAGCTGTCACATTTGATGCCTAGGAATAAGACGGCTTTTAGATGCATCTCAGTTATAGGTGGATTGAAATTTTCTGTTAATTTTTTGTTGTTGTTCAGAGATGATATTTTATCAGAATGGAAAGTGTTCAAAGGAAAATTACCACCACAAACTTCTGCTGAAAGAGAGACAGCTTCACCTACTTAGTCCCTGACCAATTTCCTAGTCAGATTACTAAAATGATATCAGTGTTTCGCTACATCATGAAATTTCTGTTTGAAATGAAGTGTGCACAATTTATGGTCCTTGGGGAACCTTGCTATGTAAACTACGTGAGAAACGAAGATAGCAGAACTAATAGATCAGCTGGAAATACTAGGTATGCTGGATGTGGCCAGTTATTAACTTGTAATTCTCCATCAGGGAGTTTGAAGACCTCAGTAGCCAGGCTTGCGTCAAGCCGTCAGCACCCTGTTGGGGTGAGGGGAACCAGGCCTGCTGCTGTCTTGGCTGCTATGGTCTGGAATGGCGGCGATAAATTACTGCCATGTTTAGTGCTGAAACAAACTCAGGCTGGTGTCAGTGGCTGTGTTTTGAGGATTCAGAAACCAAACCTGGCACCAGACACTAAAAAGATTCAATACAGCGCTCTGGAGAGCTGAGCTGTGCAGCAGGCAGCCCAGAAGCCCCCAAAAGGCCACCTTCATCCCAGGCACTCAGGACTGGCAGCCTCTCTGCTGCTGCAGGGGAAGATTTGGGGTTTTAGTCCTAGTTACAAGGTTATTAGTGACAGGTGAGCCTCCCAGCTGCCCGCCTGTCCCCTATTTTTTTTGTTAGGAGTCCTGGAAGGATGGATAGACCTGGTATACTGGGGGAAAGGTGTTCACGGCCCAAGAGTTTATCATTCTGAGAATCAGAGCTCTTTTGAATATATTTGCAGGGGGATTTAGCAGCCATCAGGAAAATTAATAAATTCCTTAAAGAACAGTTTTGAAACAGAATGTGTTTCTCGCAGAACAGATATACCAACTTTTCACCAAATCTAATGTCAATTACCATTGTTCCTTTGGGACAACGTAGGATAAGTTCCTTCACTCCTTGGAGAGGCACAGCACCAAATCGCCTGCAACTGTTCACACTCACTGTGGTGTGAAAGAGCCAGTCACCCCTCAATTCCTTGTCTCCTATGAGTCATCTGTAAACAGTGTTGGTCACTTTGAGTTAGTTGCACAGATAATACCAAAGACTTTCCGTCAGTGGTCAAGAACTATCAGCTGGATCACTGAAAAAAACAAGTGACTAGTTAGATAGGTCTAATCCAGAGGGATGTGAAATTGTGTGAAATTGTGAAACAGATTGTGTGTTCCAGCACGATATAGGGACAATATAATATAAAGAAATTCAGTGAAAGAATACAGAAGAGTGAGGCAAGATAATTTTGAATTTTCTAAAGAATAAAGGAATGAAGTTTTAGGAATAATAGCCAAAGGAAATATAAATCTTGTCTTGTTAGACAGATGCAATGTGAATATAAGGTGGAAAAATTGCCATAGTGTCTTTTGCTTGATCAGATAATCAATGTCAATTTTCTGACTATGAAAAATATTCTTTCTGTGCGAGGTGAGCATGGCAGAGATTCAGTAAAACGATCTCTTGGAAGAGGAGCCAAGATTTCAGAATTTTGACCTTTTTACTGTCTCATCAGCAAGGCTCTAAAGTAATTCTAGACCTCCAATTTAAATGCAGTGTGACTGACACAACAACTGGTTTGCCTCTTGAAACCCAAAACAACTGGTTTATGATTCCTCCCATTACACCCTTTTATACCTCTCTAAGTGCACTTCAGCTTTTAGCTATAACCCTAAATACTTAATTATTAGTATTTTCTGCATGAATGTAAAGAATAGGGTTAATGTTATGAAGGAGCTCTTGAACTTATGAAGAGCTCACGAACCAGGATTCAAAAGAAAATAATCCAGTATTTGTTTTAATAGACGTACCACTTTATTTAATTTCTGAAGTTATAATGTGACTGTACAATCAGCCTTTCTCCAGATAACAAAGAAATTAGGTTCGACTTTAAACAAAGTCTGAGGAACTAAGGTGACACAATTTAGGAAGGGTGGCAGATATTTTACTACTTGTTGCACAGCACTTGCCATTTCAGCAACTTCTTCCAGTTCCCTCTTCTACCTGAAAAACAAAACAAAACAAAACAAAACAAAACATTTCAAGGCTTTTTACAACTTTATGCTAGGAGGAAAGACTTCTGAACTCAAGGGGCACTGAACATTTTTCCAAAATAAAGATTTTTACAAATTGCAGTAGGGATTGAAGTAAATTATTTATAAATGTAGGTTAAAATAATATGATTTGAAGCATTTTATAATTATTTTTGTAACTCTTGTGCATTCCTCCAGAGTACTTGTAGTCCAGATGTTGTCACATACTAATGCATTAGAACTATGGGACTAAATTGCTGAGACAGCATCCACAAAAATGTCCCAGCAGCACAGGGCAAAAGAAGGCTGAGGATCATGGATGGTAATAAGCTTCTTAAAACACAAGCCTGTATTCCATCAACCACTGATTGTTGCCTCCACATTTTAGGCTATCCACACTCTGCAGGGCAAGTGTTAGCACCTTTCCAGGAAAGTGGAATTAAGGAAATGTGATATCCTTGGCAAAACCTTCACAGTATAAATAGAAGTGGATCTCTGGCTTTTCAGATGAGTGTGGACAAAGTTTTATGGCTAATGCTCTGAACCTGCAAACCACTATAGATGTATCTAGCTTTATGCATAGGAGGACGCTCATTGACCTTATTTGCAAGTATGAAAATAAAAATGAACACAGTTATAGAAATTAAGGTAAAATAGTCTTATTTTAAAGACATTGGCCAGAAAAAAACAGAAAACTCTTCTGAAAAATATTAAACTACAAGAACATTCAGAGGAAATTTTTCATTTTTTTAAGTGCCAAATGCTACATATCTTAATAGTGAAATGATTTGTGAAAAAATCCTACAAAAAGTTTAAAAAATATTTTACTAACTCTCACAGTGATCCTTTTTAGTTAGTGTTTACAGAGATTCCAGATATTTTCATTTGTAATGCTCTGGTCAAAATTAAATAAAATGCATTAGATAATCTTTCCTTGTAGTGATAGTAAGCAAACTAGTGGGAGGGACATTGCAAAGTTATGAGTTTTGGAGTGAACTAGAAGAAGGAGGGCACTTCCAAGCTATTGCGTATTGCTTGATCTGAGAAAGTTCTGGTCATCCTTGAGCAAAGGATTGCATAAGGTGCAAGAGATAAGGATCACCTTAAAAATAAAATAAGGCATAGTAAATATTAGCCTGTGGCATAAGGGCGGGAGATAATAGGACCCCAATGGTTGTGAAAGAGCTACTGTCTCACATTACTTCGCGCCTGTTTCCTGCACTGGGCTTTGCTAATGGGAGAGATACAGCTCAGTTTGTCTTTGCATGGCTGGTTATTGCGGATAGGATCAAACCCAGCCCCTCTTCGTGAGGGAAGAAGTGTCAGCTTAACTGGGGAGTTTTATCTGCTATCGGCTACAGTTTTAGTCTTTTAATACTAACTGAGCATTTAGCTTAAGCGATGAAAGGTAATACTTCTATTTTTATTTGCAGACAGACCTATAAAATATAAAACTGTCTGTCCTATAACTCCCTGTCCCAGTTATGAGAACAGCCAGAGTCTGAAGCAAGGAAAAAAGGTTGTGTCTAAATAATGAAGTACCCATAATCTTTTCTTGTTACCAGGTATTCTGTGAGCCTATGTAGTCCATATTTTCTAGCAAATACCAATAAAACTTTATAAATGTCATTATGTACCTCATATTCAGGGAATATAATGAATTGCAACAAATACATTTAGATACCAGAAAAGATTTGTAGGTGGACATGGCATGGTAATAAATATAAATTTTATTATTTGCAGTTTTACTGATTTAACATTAAACAATCTGTATCAGAAATTATGGGGTAGTTCTATGGGTTTTTTTTCCTTTTAATTCTGTACCTTAATATGAAAGAAGCATATATAGCTGCAACAGACTTTATCTGGTTTATAGGTATAACATATGCAAAAGAAAGACAGACTGCTATGGTGGTATGTTTTACTTGTTCTACGTTAGGGATTTTCAGCCTTTTGATTTCTGGATGCTTAAACATTTATCAGCAAAGACACAGAAAATCAAAGCCTACTGAAAACAGGCTTGGTCTCCTTGCTTGTCTTTCACCTTGAAAAGAATCCACAGACCCCACAGTTTGGGACCAGAAGTGAAAATCACATTTGTGCACCATGAGACTGATGAAAATCATTACCTGCATGATATATTTTCAGGTTTTCAGGATTTGGACCCTTCAGTTGGAGCTGCTATTCAGTTTGAGTATATCTTTGCCAAGTATTACTCCTAGTGCTTGTGAATGAATCTGAGCTGTATGTATGGAGCAGATATTTGTCCAATGTAACAAATCATATTCAATTTTTGGATTTCCGTATAAAACAGTATGTAAATAATTACTTCAGTAGTCTGTGATAACATCTGTATTCTGGAAGTTGCATTAGGCATAACTAGATCTCATGATTTTATACAGAATTGACTTGGATAATAGCAAAAGAGAAACACCTTCTTTCAAAGATATTACTGACTGCGGAAACTGCAGTGTTTTAATCAAAACATTGCTCCTGACTGAACAGATAGAGAACATTTTAAGCAGAGTGTGGCATAGTTACACAACCTCCTGCTTGGAAGGCTTTCAGCAGGGAGCTGTGCCCTCTGCTGCTCGCTTGAGCACAGTGTAGAAACAGAAACAGCCTGTATACCTTTGACTTGAAACACAGGTGAAATGGGACAATTCAAAGATATCTTTTAACATAACCATTTTTATAGGGTAAGATTGTTGTTCAAAAGCAATTTTTGATATTAATATTTTTGTCAAAATGCTACAGACAATTTAATTTATGTTTTATTGTAAACTGGATTGGACGGCTGAGAATATTTTTTTGTTTCCAGTCTTTTGAAAGACTAAACAGTAAAAAACACCAGCAGCAGAACTTTTGAGAAGTTGTTTTGTTTTTGTTTTTTTTTTTCTTTTGTTAGTGATAAAGTATTAAAGTTCATGCTTTTTTTTTTCAGAAAGGGTTGGTAAAAAAGTGCTAACTCTTCGATCAAAACAACAGTAGAAGAAAAAATGGCATATGGCTACCAAAAAGGTTATTGTTCTTTTTATTATTGTTGAACATTTTTTCATCAAATACTGCTTAAAAGTCAATTCAAGGTTTATTTGGCTATATTTTTGGTAGGCTATTCCGACTTTAATTTGCCATACCTTTTAATTTTACTGTCTACATCAGTGATAGTCACAAAAAATAATTTCTGTGAGACAGTTAGGGATGCAGTACTTCTGCCACAGTTTCTCAAAAAGAGTTGTTAATAACAAGGGGACATAAAAAAGATTGTAATCCCAGCGTCAGCTGTTTTGCAAAAGTATTTCTCTTTTTGACCTACTGAACTGCTGAAAAAAAAAACCTGCACAAGTAATATATGCAAGTTCTGTAACAAATGTAAAATGCAGATATGTACCTAAGCATATTTATGTCCCATACATGTAGTTTCACTGATTTCCATTCTAAACATATTATTATGCTAGCAATGTTCTCTCTTTTTATGCTCTGTGTTAAACTCCACAAGCACAGAGCAAGTTTAGAAGCAGTCAAATGTATCTGGCTGCTTGATGGCACATGGGCAGCCTGGCTGGAGTGCAGTGTGACTTCTCGGTACCTTTCCTTCTTCACTGGGGCATGTTTGAAACCTACTGCAACGAATAACTGCAATCTAAGAATCGTATTTGTTAAGAAATATAAATAGTTTCAGGAATGCTGCAGAATTCAGAAGTATCACAGAGCCATTAGACCAACTCTGCCACCAATAGAGACACTGTGTCTGTATTTGCACTAAAAAAAAAAAATGCCTTAGCCCTATGTAGAGTTCTTACAGAAGTAAAATTGGCAGGCATCCCAATTGGGACATCCCAGCGTGTAAACCAGAAGTACAGGAATGTGATGAATGATCAAGATTTAATGCAAATTGTACAGATATTGAGCAAGATTTTTGCAAGAACCTGCACCGATTTACTCCATAACCATCTTTGCTACTGGCTGTTCCACTGAGATGTAACTGAGCCCCATGATGCTGAGCAGGACTAAGAGGAATTAGTTGTTTTTAATAGATAAATCATGGTATTTTTTTCTATTCTCAAATGAACAGCAGCTTTCACAAATTTCTGATAAAAGCCTGATGTGCCTGAAAATGTCAAAAATAGGACCTGCCCGACCTGTTTCCCCTAGTTTCTGTTGCAGTTTACATTAACTGCATGTTCTGTGCTCCCTGCCACCATGAAATCACACTCTGTACTACTTAGTTAACCTACTCCTCTCACAAAGGCAACAAAAAAATAAACTCTGGTTTATTGGCAAAGGATCAGAGAACTGTGTGAGTCCCAGGTCAACAGAGCAGACTGCAGGTCTCCTCTCAGTTTAAAAAAAGAAAAGTTTTCCAGACCTTTTCTGTGCAGAGATGGCCTTGAAAACCTGAAACAATGTAAACAGACTGAGACGGAGGAAAGGAGCCAGTGAGTTGATCTCAGCTTGACAATAGACAGAAAGTAAGAGTGTTACTGATGAGAGACAAGTGCATGTTGGCACACCCGCACATTCAGGCTCTTACATCTTCAGAAAAGTTAAGAAATCCTGAAAAAATTTCCAAATCCCTTACCATCTCCTTGGCCATTGCCCATCCCGTTGCACAATGACAGAGCAGGGATGTGGGAGACCATGAAAGTGTTTCTTAGCTATTTTGCTTCAGCTCTGAAGAACACCTTTCCCTGGCAGGATAGATAGTAAAAAGTCAAAAGTATTACTTCTGTGAAAAATTCATATTCTGTGTGTTTCTTTGCAGTTTTTCCCAATTTCACACTTCCCAGTGTCATTGTCTTAAAAAATGCCTGCTCTTATTCAATATGACTATACCCTTGTGTTTCTTTAGTGGAAGATTAAAACCACTCAGATGATCTCAATAACAGCACTCTCTGACAGCTTTCTGAAGTGACAAGAAAACAGTTCTAAATAAAGATATTTTGGGTTCTGTGTTTTAGAAACTGAACAAGAAGTTGTGAAGAGTCTGGGGGGAGGCTGTAAGATGCCAATAGGAAATGGAGGACCTGCAGAAGTAGTAAGGATGCAGAAAAAAATCTGAGAGGTGCAGAATAACTTGGGGCCAGACTGGAGCAGAAGATGTGGGAAAATTGATAGGAAGACCTGGTGGGTTAAGAGCCTGTGGCTCCCTCACACACCTTGAGTACCTCTAATGAAAATACATAGAACAAGGCTGTCAGCACTGCTTGATGTTAGCAATAAAATATTTATGTCTTTCATAATTATTTTGTATTTGGATGGAGATACTAACATTAAGTGAAGGCTGGTCCTTCTTTTTTTCATCTTTGTATTGCTCTCTGCCAAATACAGCAACCATGGAATTTCTGTTCACTATTTTTCTTACAGAAGTAGTGCTCTGGATGCTTTCTTGATGGTCCATGTGATGCTGCTGTTTCCTTTGCACTAAAACCTGCTGTCCTTGTAAGAAGTTACCTCATCTAATGCAAGACTTTGGACTACAGATATATTGTTTTCCCCTATTGTTTCACTACTATCTTATTAAGCATGGTGTACCTCAATGGTTCTTGTATATTAACTTACACATTTCTTTTTACATGCCCAACAATTCTGGAAGTATATTTCTTTCATCCAGAGACTACTGAGACCACTAGTTCTTCTACTTCTTCCCCAAATTTGTAAGTGAAATGAAATTTTAGCAACCATTTTAAGAATAATTTTTGCAAGCAGGTCATATGCTAAGTGGAACCAATATATGTCATTTTAATACACGTTATGAAACATATGTGAAATATTTGGGAGTTGCTATTTGTGCAGGAGGTTGGACTAGATGAATATCTTGAGATACCTTTGAACCTGAGGGTTTTAATGGTTCTGTGACTGAAGTTTTGTCTGGAATGTTATAAGACATTTCCCTGTCACTATGAATATTGGAACACTAGATAAGAATTATATCGAGTTTCAGAAAAGCTGGTTTATTTTCTTTTTATTTTCTATGCTCAGATATAGGAATCAAATAATGTGTTGTATAAAGAATATTTCCGGAGTTAAAGATAAGAAGAATGAGTCAGAGATGCTGTCATCGCCTAGGGAATTTTGAACATTGTTATGCAATGATTTTTATAATTCATTACATTTGGATTAAGACACAGATAGATAATGGCTGTTCTCTGAATTTTTATCTGTGATGAAATTAATTATGTGAATAAAGTAAAACAGGAAACAGGCCAGAATCTATCACTTTGTAAAGATAAACTAATAGACTTGAGAGTTTGGAGATGCATATTTGTAAGAAAAACAGGGTATCCGGCAAACGACTGTGTGGGATGTTGCAAGATAGAGATGATCTCAGCTATTACAAACAGGAGACTAGCTCTAAATGAAGGGGATTATAAAAGCTATAATTAGCTAATGCTTCCTAAAAGCCTAACTAAACTGTTGGGTTTTTTCCATTCCAAAGTGCAATACCGTAGTGAGATCAAGTATCATGTAGTAAGTGCAGACAGAGAAACAAATGTTACAAACACAGTATCATCTGCCATTATTTCAGGACAATCTTGTAAACTTCCTAAAACAGATACTTTTCCTTTAATGATGCTGTGATTGCCGAAGGACCGTTTATTTATTATACTGGACTATAATAAACATATCACAATTAATTGTCACCATTTAATGTTCATTTTATTTACGTGTCCACATGTGACACTTCTTTAATCTTTAATCTGTGCTTTAATTCTGAAGAAAGCAGATGGATTGCTGAAGACAACAGAATCCCTTGTCTCTTAAAAGCAAGATTACTTTTCTCAGAAGTGGTTTCACTGCTGTTTTATTTACTGCTTACAAGTATTCATGGCATTAACCTGATGAAGGATGACTGTGTCTGTTCTGCATGAATCTTATTCTCTGTCCCTAGAGAGTTTTCAAAGTACACAAATATGCAACAGTTCAAACCCCGATGGAGAATAAGTGAAGGGGCATGGGAGATCCTTCCTCACATAGGGGACCCACAAATGTGGCTTGGCCTTTGCTGTCAACACGTGGGTGACAGAGGGAAGCACCAGAGAAGTAGGACAACTAGCAGTGTCGTTAATGCTGTCTTACAAAGGACAGGCAGTTTGTACCATCTGCTAGAGAAGCAGGAGAATACAAATAAAGTGCTTTGCTGAGGCATGCATTGACTAAATAAGGAAGCGCAGGCTTGATTCCTCCAAATCCACCCCAGCACACCCAAAGAATATCCGGTAATCTAATTTCATAACAAGTTCAAGTTACATTCATTTTTGAAACAAATTCATAGTTTCTTCAAAAGTGAAATTTTATGTGATTAAAACCAGACCATTGTTATTTAAAATAAAATTCCAATATCAGTGACAAAAACATGTTACTCACCTGAACTGTGTCTATAAAGTGTACAAGCATCTTTAAAGCATGAGGTCTCCAACTGACATCAAAAGAACTGGTTATAAACTTAATATTCTTCATGTGCTTAAATTCTCTGCTTAGGTTGGTCTTATGTGCTGGATGGCTTAGCTGCCCAGCAGCAGTCCTATCCTCTAGTTTTGGGGGCAGAGGAAGGTCTGAGACTATCTTGCAAGCATCTTGTCTTCCACAGCACAAATCTGTCACTGTGAGTGTATTAGTGGTCCATTGAACTCCGCTTTTCTTCCTCATCGTATTAAATAAATGAAAGCTTTAATTATTAGGCCATAGAAGCAAATGACTCACTGAATATTTAGGTGACCGTCTAGTAACAGCAGATCTCAGTCTTTCTGAGTCAATGTTAAGAGTTATGATCTGTTTGGATGGAAAATGATAATAGATAGAAACAGAGCAGATAAAAGACAGATGATTTTATGTGATCCATAAGGAGGTTTTCCACGCAGGGAGTGTGACTTGCCTTCACTGAGGCACAGGAGCTAAAATGGTGACCGTTGAAGGAGAGACATCAGTTTCTAATGCCTCTTCTCTCTGAAAACTAGCAAAACTCTCATAATACCGAATGACTCATGTTTAGTATCACTCCTGCAATTGAGTTCTGTATATAAGCATGACTGACTATTTAAATATGTATCTTCAGTGGAGAAACACTTTTGTATGTGACCTTGGACTTCCTGAACCGCAGCTTGAGGTGAGTACGTTCGTATGAGGACGACCATCAACACCAATAGCCTTCTAAGTTGACTGTGCAACTGGAAAACCCCTCAGCAGCAGGGTAAGGAGACAGTGGTTCCTTAGGCATTTGCACCCACTCCATGGGTGCAGGGCTTTAAGAAGTCGTTCCTAAAAGCAACCAACCCCGCCAAGAGCAAACCAACCTGCAGCGGGTCAGGAGCGAGCCTGGCGCAGCCCCGCGGGGTGCTGCCGCTGTGCGGCGGGCGGTGCAGAAGGGTGTCAGGCCTGCCGCACGCACCCTGCGCTGCTGGGCCCCCCGGGCACGGCCGCCTTGCTGCACCTCAAACGCAGCAGACAGGTCAGCTCGAAGGCGTGCAGGATGACAGGACGTTGTGCGGGTATCAAACTACGCTGCGCACCCAGAACGTCCGCTTTCTGGTATTTCAGGATGCTTAGTAGCCAGTGTTATGAAATGTTAGTCAGTAGACTACCACCAAAAAAACCCGAAAGCCATATATTATTACCAAATGCAAAAATGTCAAAGCTGATAAATTCAGCAGGGCTTAATGAAAGTGTTCTCCTGTGCATAATGAAACAAGGAGACTTAAAGATACCTTTAAAAAAAAAAAAAACAACTTTGAGGATTAGAGCACTGCTAGTCTATATGAGTTGGCTTAAGCCCTGATCTTTAGGGGCTGTGTTGAGTAAGGATTACTTGACTTCACAGACTACAAATTCAGTTATTTAAATGGAATTTTTTGTATTTGGTTCTGTGGTTTGGATAGAATAGCTGGTATTTTACCATACTAAATACTTTTTTTTTACCAGACTGTAATTTATTATTTTGTTATAGTCATAGTTATAGTTAAACACAGACCTTTATTAAACTCAGAGAAGTAGAAATAAAAACTTAAGAACAGTGCACAGATACTCAGATGATGGCATTTTTAAATTTTTTTCTTTGTTGAGCACAGGACAATATGGAGTACTGAAGCAAAATAGCTGAGTAAAACAGAACTTATTTATAAAACTGAAATACGGCCCTCCCCACTCCTTCCAACAGCAGTCAGTCTTTTGGTTGTTGTGTTTACAGTATCCCCCAACACTCATTACTATCCCAAGGTCCAGGGTAACCATCTATTGAACAAAAGATGAAAGACTGGGGCTCTTTCAATGCAGGACAAGGGTGATCTTAAGTTTCTTTTGTGACAAAGTAACTTTTATCAGGTCTGGTTTACTGTCCTTTCACATTGGGGAGCTCAGTTTTCTGGAATTCAGAGTAAAATATTAGCATTAGAAATGTCATATGTAGCTGTTTTATTGAAAAAAACTGTTGTTAATATTCTGCAGGTTTACCTGGGCATCAAAATTTCTATCAATAGTATAAAACTCTCTCCTGTTACTCTTTTCTGCCTGGGGTTCTCTGATTCTTTGCAAACCGAGAAACTTGTTCAGAACATAAACCAGTTGAAAAGAAGGGTGGTACTACAGAATGAGGATTTTCTTCACTCTTGTGAGACATGTTTTTAAGAAACTATTAGTAGCACTCCATGAAAGCACGTGCAAGGGATAATTGCTTACAGTTGCCCCAGCTTGCAGTTGTACAAACTGTACTGTTGCCTTTCAGCTGATCTAAACAGCTGATCACAAATATTTCTGTATGACTGATTTTCCTCTTTAAATGCATTAACAAGTTGCTGAAGTGAGCACAGTTTGGCTGATAGAAGAAAACCCTTATTTGTCTTTCCTTCCCAGATCATCATAGGTGAAGGCATATGAAAACAAGTCACTGGACCTTGCAGTTGAGGAAGGGAGTTATCTGTGGGTGATGGGATGATTTGAGTAACAATTAAGATCTTAAACACTGAAATCTTGCCTTTGACAGCAGGTATTTGAGTTTACAGACCCTCATTCGTTTGCTTCGCCTAGAATGAGAAGTCTGCTTGGAATCTCATGCAGTTCCCTGGGTTTTGTAGTAATACGACTAAGAGTAGAGCTGAACAAATTTTTTTGGGCAGGTAGGTTATGCAGTTTCTCACTGGGGGGTTAAGATGAACCTGATAATGGGAATTGTTGAAAGAAATGGAAAAAACACTAGAAAATAAAACATTTTGTTTAGACACATTCTTTTTGTTAAGCCATACAGTATTTTCAAAGTAAATTTATTTTTAAAAATTCAAAATAAACCTAATGATAAGAATTATGTCAGTGACTGAAGTGGATTTTAAAATTGTTTCAAAATACCTTTTTTCTTACCTCGTTTTTGTTTTTAATCTTCTGTTTAACAACTGACATAAAATTCAGAGAATTTGACTTATGATACTACTTCTGGCACCACTTATGTTTATTCAAAAATTTATATTTTTCATTACTTGGGATCTCATATTAAGAAGTTACTTGTATACATTTGTAAATGTATTTTGGTTGCATAACTATGTGTTTTCTCCATGTATGCAAATCTGTTTACCAGACAATGAAGACATATCCACATTTAAAGATAGATTAGCTCTACCTTTACAGTTTAGCATATTCAAATCATAGAATAGGTAAAATGGTAAAAAATGAATAAAAGATAAAAGCTAGAGGTGGAAACGTCATCCAGTTCTAGACTTCCGTGGAATTCAAGATGTGTCTTGTACTTTACTTTTGCTTTGTTCAAACTAATAGTAGACATTCCAAGTGAGAGAGAGAAAAAAAACATACTTTGCATGACTATAACATTTCTCTCACATAATCTGTACCTTTCTTTTTACATAGCAGTAAGATGTAAGAAATCTGGAAGACAAACAATGAGTGCAGTAGCATATGCTCCCTTCTTGATCTCCCACCAGAAATACCTTATTTTATTACATTTTATTAGGTTTTAGTCTCTGGAGTGTAACTGGGAAGCGAGTAATTTGATTAAACTGTTTTGAGAAGGGCTTAATCATGACACATATTCTCCCAGACCTGATAGAAGATCATAACCTGCAGCATCTCTGAATTTATAGCTGAACAAATGCTACTGGTCCTGGAATACACAGATGAAAATTGTTGGCCTGTTGCCCAGTTGTGTGTGTAAGACCTATAATTGAAACACTAGGTTCATTGCCTCTGGTCAAAAAAGGTATAGTGATGCAAGGTTAGAAAAATATTTTCCATGTCTAATGCCTTAAAATACTTCGCTATAATTTCAGTAGAGAACATTTGCAAAAAGCATGTAGTTAAAGCTGGGAAAATGCCCAGCCAGAAGCACACAGAAGAAGACTGAATAGTGAAACTAGCTTTACAAACACTAACGTTTAGGGTTGCAAACTGAGAAATACTATCATAAATTTCAGGTTGTTGTGGGTGTTCAATCTGCTGTTGTTTCCACCCAGCATGCTACTTGCAGACCATAACTCTACAAGAAAATGATGACATAGATTGGTGATGTTGTGCAGTGCAGACATCCAGAACAGATTGGATCTCCTCTCTTCAAGTAAAGGTATTCCTGTAACAAGAAGGTAGCTAATATTTAGCATTTGTGTGGCTGTTTTGATGCATAAAAGAGTTTTCAGTAATCATATTAATCATCTTTAATACAGTCTTGTGAGATAAGGAGTAGGGTGCTGTACTCTCTGCACGATTACAATAATGTGAACACTGACCAGGGAGTGACACCCACAGGTCCTCAAAGGACATCAGTGTTAGAGACAGGATGAGATTTAATGGCTTCTCATTTCTTGTCATATCCCTCTCACTACAGCTGTGCTGTCCTGGAGGAATTTGCTTTCAGAACAGCTGGGAAATATTTGCTGTGTCCATGTGGGATGTTTGAGAAATTGGCAGATACTGCTTGGTTATATAAACCGCTTGTATTGACTGGCTTGAGACTTCCTATAGGTATTTCCTGATCTGTAATTCTTCATTATCATATATTTAGTCCTCATGTCTCTATTTCAGCCCAGCGTATTTCTTAAAATTAACCAATAAGATCCACTAAGAAATCAGGTCAGTTACATTCTGTATCCAGGTTGCACAGTAGTGAACTGGTGCATCATTCATGTTCTCAGAGACTGAACCTCAGTGTGCATCCTAAACACAAATGTTTCACAGGTCTTAACTCTGAGCAAACCAAAAGCATTTCTAAAGTCTAGAATGATTGCTTGACTATGCAGAAAGGAGAGCTTCCTGAAGTCACTAAAATTGAGGGAAAGACAGCAACCCAGCACCAAGGAAATGTGAAGAATCCAAGAGAATTGTGTTCTCAATTGCTTTCCACAGTCAGAATTGTGTTCTACGATGACAGTGATTAGGATCTGTGGCTGTGACAATCTGGGGAGGACATACAATCACTGCTGTTGGGAAGGTCCAAGTCTGTAGTTCCAGATCGCACATATGGACAGTGCTTGCACGCTCTGGGTTAGGGGTCCCAAGCTAGGATAACAAAGAGTTTCAGTGTTCACTGTTGCTGAGCTCTTTATGTGTTGATTATAAGCTGTGACCATTATTGTAGTAGCAGAGGCAGCAAATACCAGAGGGCACCTCTCAGTGTCACTCCTTGGTATGATGCTGTTACTGCTTCCAAAAAATTCTGAAGTGCAGCATAATATAGCACCAGTCACTGCCTTCATTACAAGCATGAAGCATGACTTCCTCCTTACCTACCTCTAGTTTTATCACATCAAGGCCCTTACTAGTCTTCTCTGCAGACCAGCTGGGAAGATGTGGAGTGTTTGTGCCAGAAAATATTCTGTCCCTGTCTAGGAAGAACAATTCCACAATGACATAAAGGGTTTACTAATTAAAAAGAACTCAATTAAAATATCCAAAGGGTAGGTATTACATTGTCACTTTTTACTGAGTTTAGAGGTAGTGCTTAAGCATCCTTAAGCTCAAGAGTCAAGACCTTAGTTCTGAAAGGGTCAGTACTTTGGCTCCATACTTCAAACATATTTCTGTACCTCAGCACTGCTGTGGGTATGTGAGTAAGGTCACTGAAATGACTATGAGATTTGATCGGCAGAGTTTGATTTGATCTCATAAAATATGTCTAGCATCGATCATCAAAACCAATCATGAAGTCTTGGCATCCATTCAGGAGAAAAAAGAGTAGATGATTTTTTTTTCCAAATACATAAGATAAAGATGCACGGGGCAACCATCATGTCTGTAGAGAATGGAGGGTGACACCAAAGAGAAAGTTCAAGAAATTTGAAGAAATAAACTGAGGATCAGAAAGACACAGAAAGTTAGGAATGGAGGGAGAGACACTAGCAAAATCTTTTGTGCTGGACAAACCACTGTACTGAGTCACGCTCAACAGTCAGACCAACAGCATTTCAGCTAGTTATACTGGCAGCTTTAAAGAGCAGATGTGTTGTAGAATCCATAGCCCAAGCTTGTTAAGTGGTCATGCTAGGGAAAGGTGAATATTGCAGAGGAGTCCATGGAGGTGCATCACTATGAATTCATAGAAATGAGGCTTAGCATGCAGAGGATGGAATCTGAGGATTTTGCCCATGAGACTGTAATGTACTACCTACTGCAAAGTGACATACTGCTTTATTACGGTATCCTCAGACAGGTTTTTGAAGACAACATCTTAGGACTGCTGCATATTGTTCTTGTAATATGTTTCTGTGGGGTTTGTTAAAAAAAAATGGTTTTCATATATTGTTAATTTCTTAAACTGTTCTTCTGAGAATAACATTAACATTTCCAACCTATATTGCTTCCCAACTACCAAAGGCTGTTTATTATGTATTTTTTTCCTCTCTTCTGGTTGATACCTGCTTTTTAATATGTGTTGCTGAAATCTGTGTATTTGACAAGCACAGGGCTCCTTATCCTGACTCCTTTTTAATTACATGCTCCTGACACTTGCTATACACATATAAATGTTTATACTTCCACACATCGTTATCTTTTTATGACCCACAGATGATGCTTTCAAAGTTGTTCTGTAGTCTTAGAGTAAAATCTGGACTCCATTAAAATGAAGAGAAGCACAGGTGTTGATAGAAATGGGATGCTATACTCTGACCTTTCGAAGTGCACAAATGGTATGGATTCATGAGGAGTGACTTTCTCAGGGCTTTGGGAGACAGGCATCTTGAGGGATTTCTGGAAGATGATTAAGAGCTGAAAACTCTGCTGCCTGCAGAGGGCATATTTCAAGGGCTGGAAACACATCCAATGATTTTCTTATAAAATTCTCTTTTAGGAGGATGTGTCTCACTGGTAAATACATATGAAGTATTTCCGATTTGCTGCATCATTAACTACGTGACATATATCATTGAGATGTCTTTTGTAAAACACTTACGAACTCCTCCAGCCTCATCTTAGCATTTCTGTGGTCTGGTTAGGACTGTTCCCAGGTAGATGTTATTGCCAGAGTATCACACAAGATGAAGGTCATACATAAAACTCTACCTTGATATAGAAGAGTTGCCAATCTACTGGAATTTACAAACAGACACGTCCAGTCCTTATAAATGTGAACAGTATAGGTCAGATTCTCATACTTGGATTATTTCAAGTCAGACTGTGCCAGTGTGTATAAAAGTAGACAGCCCAGCTCAGATTTGGATTTCAGTGTCAGTGCCATACAAGCAAATCCCTATGGGAAAAAGAAGAGTCATCTTCCTGCAGAGTTTATTAGTTTAGTTTTTCAGGTCTGGAAGATGCGTCTTAACCAGGCAGTATATTTTTGTTGTATCTGATCTCTATGTGATATTTAATAAATTTACCTTTTTTATTTTCTTTCTTTTTTTTTTTTTTTTTTTTTTGTTGCTACTGATACTCTTTTAAGTCTATGCTCATTTTAAGAGATTGCCACAAGGAAAACTTGTTCAGCTTTTCGTCTGTTTTGCTAAATCTGAAGTCTGGTTTATTGCTTCCATGTTTATTGTATTTCATGGACTAAATATTAAGTTCTGCAAATGGTGATGTAGATTCTGAGCCACAACAGGAGAATGATGGGATTTTGCAAGCAAGGTCCTAGAGTCTGAACTGCAGACTGCTGAGTTATATGCCTTCCAAAATGGAAAGATGCATTAAAAGTCTGCCTAATGTTTGTCTAGACGTGCTACATTCTGATTTTCATCAAATAAAGTAAATGTAGCTGAAGAACTCATCATGTATAAAACCAACAAAATTGACCCAATACACTTCTCATTTTCCATTGGCAGAGCTTCCAACATAGCTCTGGACGTCAATGGGGGTTTCCATTCATGCCTACAATGCTTTCCATAGCATGGCATCTCAGTGAAGTGGAAGGCATATGACAATTTGGCTTTTTGGCTATGGCATGCCACCATGGCATCCCTCAATCAAAAGCACTGAGTGACATACCTTTCTTGCACTGCTTGGCATGTGCAGTACATCAAAAAACATTGCTGCCCCTTCCATATTGTATATTATCAGATTCATTTCTGTTGTATTGTTTTCTTCCACAAGCTATTAAATATAGTGGAAGATAATTTATATTTAGATTGGCCACAGGCATTGCGTAAATGCTTTTTCTCATTTAACAGTGTGCTCATTGTGGGCATGTTCTGTGCTCCGATAAAGCCCTCCACATGAAATCACCCATGGGAAATAGCCCGAGCACAGTGAAACCTAGAAAACTTAGCTTTGAGCAGGGGAATTCTTGAACTACATCCTGCTGGCACACTTACTTCTATGTGTTCCCTTACAGTCAGCCATTCCTAGCTGTCACACTGGCCCCTGGAGACTGCTGGAAGTTGTCACGCTGAGGTGGAGCTGCACTCTGGTTGTTCTAGTTATGTCAAGGTATTGGCCAAGCCAGTCATGGCTGACAGAGCCCAAAGCTGCTGTAAGCCACTTTTCCATGCATCATTCTTCTGTACATGCTTTGTGTGCCCTGGGTAAAGCCATGGCTCTGAGCCATTTTCCAGACTCCTCTTATTCCTGCTTTCCATTCTCAAAGAAAGTGTTTATGATTTAAGGTAAGTTATTTTCATTAGAAAAATTAGTCTGATTATGCCTTTTGTTTGTTTAACTGAAGCAAATACTGTATCTGAACTGCAAGTCCAATAGACAGTGTCTCATAGCTATAGCATGCTCATTAGTACTGCTCTCTCTATTTAATCTTTCATTTAGGTGACAAATATATAAAACCCTCTTTTGGATTGAGTACTTTATCAGTTAAGTATCTAACGGGACCACTACATTTTATTTATTCTGATAAATTTTTGCAGATGTTGTCACCAGGTGACCACCTAAGTTTCTGTGAACGGGTACTAGTTTCAGACAAGAGTGTGTCTGCAATTACGATGTAGGCTAAAACCACTCACTTTTGGTCTCATTTCATCCCACTGCATCTCTCTTCAATTACAGGCACATGTAATGCATGCACTTACCTACTGTACAGAGGTGGTTTTATTCCCATAACAGAGAAGCAGTTTAGCATGAAGATCAAGATCATTGGTTTACATCCACTGGGATTGGATTATACTACTCTTTGATACTACATTTTTACAGATAGAGCAGTGATAGGAAGCTGTCTGGAAGGCATCTTTCAAAGCTGAAACATCAGCTGCATTCTTTAATGTCATCGCTTTCCATGCTACGTCATTTGCTTTTTACTTAAGTCCTTACATTATATGTGCTGTATTGTTGGATCATTCTAAAAGGTCAGTCTGAGAGAAGCCAGATTTAGGTTTTATTCAGCCTGCACCTCACCTATCAATCTCCAGGTGATGCTCAGATCACTTCTACCTTTAAGGACAAAATCAGAACACTATGAGCAGATGCACAGCTTTCCTTCTGAAATTAAAATCACAGATAATGACTTTACTAATACTTTTTAGCACCAGCCATTAATGATGCTGCTGAAATCTGCCATTTGCTTTGATCAGTTTGTTTCAATTCCCCGGTTTTCCTCTTACCTTTACTTCCCTGATTTCCCAAACTTTATCTTTCTGATGAAACAGATGTCAACTTGCTATGTCTTACAGTGCTGTCAAGTATTACTGCATGCAGATATGTTCCTGAGCATGTGTGATCTGATTAAAGCATAGAGTGATGAGGATTGTATTGGATTCCCTGCTGTTTGCTGTCGTGTTGCCTACTCGGAGGTAAACAATTTTAGCCAGGATTTTTTAAAATGTATAAGACTTTTATGAAAGCCATCCTTAAAAAAGTTGTACTTCAATTCTCCACCTGAACCACAGGTATAATATAATTTCTTTTCAGAAGATATTGTGAAGAGGCTTTCATCAGTGACATACTGCACTACTGTAGGTGAAGGTACTGCAGCTGGGCTTACAGGAATCCAAAAGTTGTTCATGCATGTTACAGGATGATCTTGTTATGCTCTCACCTTTGCTATTTCAGATGGCTGTTGGCTTTCTAAACATGTCAGAGGTTTAGAAAATAGAAAAAAATCACTGCAATGCAGCTGTGAATGCACTAGGTAACACTGCTCTTAAATGTTTAAAACTGTTTCCTTTCCTTTGTTAGAATGGCTTTTCCATAACAGAAGTGTTCATTTCCTAGGGAAAGCGATGTTATGCAAGTTAGCTGATAATGAATTTCTGAGCCAATATCAGAAGAAAAGGATAAATGTGAAGGTAGGTCCTAAGTGATACAAAAGTAATTTTTTATCTTAATGCAGATAAAGCTACTACATTTTCCTTTTGCTCTACCTTTGTTGATGGAAGCAGCTACCACAAAGTCAGTGAGATGCTGTGATATGACTCAGTGCCTGGGGCTGACCAAGTACCCACACTGTTGATCCTCGCATTTGTCTCTTATGTGCAAGTCAGTGCCTAGTCAGTGCCTAGAAACTGCAATGTGCAGAAGCTGACAAAGAGCAGCTCCTCTGGGTACCACAGGACCAGCTCACTGGAAAGCTAAAACATGAAGACTTCTGCTGTAGGCATGGGGCTTCTTAATACAGAAGATTGTGTAAATTCTCATGCAGAGCAATGAATTGAAATACTAGGGAAAGAACTGACTTGCACCTTTTTCTGTGTAATACAAATCATGTCCCTTACCTCCATAAATGGCTCCAATAAGCATTCCTTGTATATATCAAGCTGATTAAGTCTCTCTGAGCCTTCAATAAATAAGCCCACTAAAGCTGTCTGTTTATACAGACAGAAAATGAGGTGCTCCAGTTAGAATTTCATGAGCTCACAAATGTTTCTCTCTAGGAAGATGAGGTAGAAACCATTTCAAAAGGATTAATGTCTAAGCTTGCTGAATTAAAATTGCAACAGGTGTCAATTTTATTTGCCTGTCCTTGCAACAAATGTGACATTATCCATTTGATTGATGACAGAGTAAAGGTTTGTATTTTCTTTTGTTTCAGAGGTCTCTCCTGAAAGTGGAAGGATGTAATTTTCCACACCATTGTACCCAAATCACCTCCTAGTAGTTTCTGAACTGAATTATGCTTAAGATATAATGAACTACATTTTCTGAAGGACACTTTGATAATGAGCAGATCTTTGTATCTTTAAAGATGGTAGGAGTAACACCTCTTATGATGTCATATAATTTGCTAAGGTTTAGTGAGCTTCAATCTGACATACCTTCTCTATGTAAAGATAGCCTATACATCTCTATATAAACCTGCTGAAACACAGATTCATAAGTGAGAGACCCTATCCTACCTTTCTCTTAAAGGTAGGATACTTATGAATGACCTCAGAGCAAGAAGAGTTTACTGAACAAGTTTAAAGAAATCATTGTAGTTAACTCTAAGTCCATGTTTAGTTAGTTATAGTGTAGCTATACAGGTAAACTAGACGGGGAGCCTTTATCTTCCAGCTGGTTTTGGGACATGAAATACGACCAAATTAATCTTAGGCTCTGTATATTGCAGCTTCTCAACCTTTTCCCTGTACCTCACCAATAAAAAGGGTTTACAACCTCTCAAAGCCACAGATTTATTTCCATGCTACATTCCAGTGCTGATGGGTACAAGAAGCATCTGAGCAAGTTTGCTGCAACTATGTTGAAAATCTCGATACTTCTTGGCTGACTCCCAAATATTTAGCTTGGGATATTAATTAGCTCAAGGTATGCAGTTTGAGGCAGCATTTAGCTCGAGGTAGATACAGTTGCAGCAGTGATAACATGGACTGACAAAGCCATGGGACACTGCAGCGAAGCTGGCATTTGAAAAAAGAGCTCTGAGTATTCAACGTAGATGTAGAGACAAAGCCAACTAACACCACCACACCTATCACTAACTCTCCATCATTTGAAAAACACTTTTTCCTGAGCGAAATACTGACTGCTAAGTTGCCTAACACGAGAAAGGCATTTGGTGTAAAGCTCCCTGCACGAAGGGGAACCGACTGGACAACGCCAAACCTGAATTTGACTGAATAGCCAGGAATGGCCTCATTTGGGGCTGGCAGAGGCCAGCTTTGCATATCGGCACGGGTTTGAGGGCTGTGAGATACCCTTTCGGGCTGTGAGATACCCTTTCGGGCTGTGAGATACCCTTTCGGGCTGATACAGTGTCGGGCTCAGCCCGAGCCTGGCTCCGCGTCCACGCCTGTGCTGTGGGCTGTGGGCTGTGGGCTGCGGGCTGTGGGCTGAGGGCTGTGGGCTGCGGGCTGAGGGCTGTGGGGCGCTCCCGCCATTTCTGCCGCAGTCTCGGCACCTCCACCACCCGCCCGCCCCGTCCCGCCCTGTCCCCTCAGGGCGGTGCAGCCCTCTCCTCCCCACGCCCGGGGCAGGGCTGAGGCTTGCCCTGCGGGAGCGGGAGGAAGGGAGCCGCGGGATCCCGCCGTCATCCCTCTGCCTCCTCCCGGAGGGGCGAGAAAATGGCTCTCCCCGCCCCCGCGGCCCCCCCACCGCCCCCCCCCACCCCCCGCCCGCCTCGCAGCCTCCCGCCGCCGCCCTCCCCCTGCCCACCCCTCAGGGGAGGACGCGGTGCCGAGGCGGTCTATAAAAAGCCCCCCGGGGCGGGAGGGAAGGAGGGTGGGAGGGGAGGAGGGCAGCGCGCCGTCGGAGCCGCCGCGGAGGGTGAGGGACGGGGGCGCGGGCAGCGGCACCATGGCCCAGTCCGTGTGGGGCTACGACAGCGACAACGGTGAGTGGGGCTGCCGGGCCGCCGGGCAGGCCGGGGCTGAGCCGGGGCGACATTTCCTTGCCTTTCCCCCCCCCGCCCCCTCCTTCCAGGACCCGAGCACTGGCATGAAAACTACCCCATGGCCAAGGGGGACAAGCAGTCGCCCATTGAGATCAACAGCAAAGACGTGCAGCACGACAATTCTCTCGGCCCTTGGCACGCCAGTTACGATCCCGGGGCTGCGAAAACCATCCTGAACAACGGGCGCACCTGCCGGGTCGTCTTCGACGACACTTTTGATCGATCAGGTCGGTTTTGGGGTTTGGCTTTGGGGGGGGGGGTGTTAGGAATTGAGATGTGCAAGGTGCTGGGAGTCAAAACGCATCCTGTGGTACCTGGCCTACAGAGGCTGGCAGAGAAAAGTCAGCTGGGTAGGTAAAAAAGGTGCTCCTGGAGTTTATTCTGGTGGATCCAGCCATGTTTATGTCCACTGTAGGTGGGACAGGGAGGCTGTAGCTGCAGGGGCACCCCTGAAATAGAGAGTCATCTGGAAGGTGGACTTCTCCCCACATCACCTCCTTCAAGGTGGACATTGTATCCTCAGCTCTTGTGTGAGGAGGGAGAGTGTCACCCAGGGGGGTTTAGTGAGCGCTCCGAGGCACTTCGTATACACATTAACTCGTGTGTCTACCAACTGTGGTCTTGGTTTCTTCTGTCTGTATGGGAAGTCTGAAGAGCCTTCACAGCCTGAAAAAGCTATGAAAATGGCATTTATGAAAATAACATTTCATAGCATCTGGAAATCTATGAAATGGCTTTGTTACTTATTTGGGAGAGAGCAGTCTCTAATCTCCAAGTTAAATTGTTCAAAACTTGATTCCAGAGCTGTATCAGCTCTGAATGTAGTCAGGCAGTGCCAGTCAAAATGAATAATAAATTCACAGTCCCATATAATGCAAAGACATCTCAGGAGCATGCAGTATTGATCACTCCTTTATCAAGAAAGAAAGCAATCTAATTAATGGAAAACAGGGTTGTTTTCCACTGTATTTTCCTGCATCTGCTTTGATGGCATTTGTATTGGGATTTTGTTCTTAGTAAGCTATATAATTAATGAAATATATCTGCGATACATTGAAAGATCACCATCTCTCTTGTTTATCTTGATGAGCTCATCGTTTCCTTGGACACCTTTATTTACCATTACACAGCTACCTGTTATTGTTCCACGTCTTGCAGTTGGAATCTAAGCTATTTAGGACAGGGATCATCTCTTTGTTATGTTTTTGTATGGTGCTTTAGTATTTATTACCACAGTTTCTACACAGTGGCCTCAGACAAACCATCAGTTGCACTTCTGTTATAACACGGAATGCTCTTCCACAAGCGCTGCATAAACTCAGTGCCATGACTCAAAGCATGGGTGGTAAATTTGTTACGAACCTTTTCACATGGCGGTTCTGCTCTGTCTTTGCAGCTTCCTAAAGGCTGAAATGTTTAGACAGAGGCTGCTCAAAATCGTGTCTGCCCAGGGAACTGTATTGGAGAAAGACCCAGATTTAGCCAGGCAGAGTGCAGCCTTTGGTGCAGTCCCTCCTCTGAATCACCTCCCCGCTGTTCCCTCCCTGCCTTTCCCCTCCCCATCATCTCTGTTGTTCCTCTGGACACCCAGTGTGTACATTTGCTTTGTGCTGCTGTTACGAACTTTCTGCAGGCTGCTGGACAGTAGTTTAGGGCTCAAGCCTTTCACAGGGATGTGTCTGATTGCAATCACATACAACGTTTGACAGCTCTGAAGAACCACATGAGAAAGCATTTCATAAACGTTACCTTCATTTGTTGTCTTCTGTGGTGGCAGCAGCTGATGATAAGTAATAGTCACACTGGAAAAAGAAATCTAGCTTAAAGACAGCTTTTGATCTAATCACATGGAAAATTCTGAATGATAAAAATATCTATTTTTGTGCTAGAGAGATCAACATACCATTATGAAGTGCTCTTTCCAAGTGCTTCACAGTACTTGAGCTCTGGAAAGGGCCACTTGTAACAAACTACTGCTAAATGAGTTTCCAACTCTGATAGTGATTTAACTTGTAAATGTAGGTAGATCACACAAATTCAGCTCCTGAAAGTTCCCACCTCCCATTGATTTCAGTGTGAAATGGCAGGCAAATACTTGTGAAGATTTGGGCCTTAGAGTCTATGTCTTATTTTTACTACACTGAAAAGTGAAACAACAACAACAACAACAATAATAATAATATAATAATAATAATAACAATAGAACCTGCATGTCTAAAACTCAGCACAGTACTTTGTTTCTGCCCCCCCAATAGCTGTGACACCTACCACCTAAAAAGATAAACTGCAAAGTTAAACCTCCTGCTCTGTGTAGGTATTCCAACACATATGATATCAAGAAATAATTTGAGACCATTGAGCACAAGAGGATTTAAATATTATTTCCATGTTAACTTTGAACTTCAAAGCTATTTGTAGAAGTTCAAACTTGAATGCTATTTAAATAAGTTCTTCTGGCACTGCAGTTGTGAACTGCATTATCAGCTTTCTGTGTAAGGAAACACATCTCATTCCTGCCTTAGGTAATGAATAAAAAATGTATTTGAGATCTTACCCTCTAAGCAGTCCCTGTTCAAAAGAATCCCCAAACTGAAAGAGCAGGTGTGGTGCTTTGAAAGTCAGAATTGGTGTAAACTGTCAGAACTGATGCATGGTCAGCATTATTTGGCTAACGTCAGAAATAATAGCATCTTAATTTGTTTCACTGGTGGAAATGTTACATGTGGACTATAGGTTTTGATTGCTCAGGAACGCTTTTCTAACTCATTTGACCTAAACTCTTTGCTCTTCCCTCACTTTCAAGAAATAGATTTTTTTTTTTTTTATTAGAAGCATCAAACTGTGCTGTAGCCACTGTTTAGTTGTCTGAACTGTGAAAGGTACACCAGTCATGGACTAGAGGTACACTTCAGAGCACCTTTGGGTTAATTTCACCATCCTATCCCCAGCCATTTCACAGCAGACCATTTTCTTGAGAAAAATCAGCTGTGAATGCCTTCCTCTTTCCACATCAGGAACTATAGCGTGTCCACTTGCCAAGAGAAAAGGGGCTTGTTGGGCTTCTGGGGTTTGGCTCTGTGCTTGACTCACAGAAGGTTCCACAGTTTTCACATCAAACAGGACTCTTCCTGAGCGGTAACAGGATCCAGCCCCAATCTTGTAAACTGGTGAGTGTCGTGACCCCCCCACTGCAATCAACTCGATTTACAAGAGGTACTCCACACTTTTAAAGTCTGGGGCCCTGTTCAGTAAACGTGTCTGTCAGCGTTTTGTAGGCTAGTGTTGATGTAGGTTATCAATTGCAGTGCTGAGAGGTGGGCCGCTCACGGGAGCCTACAGGCTGCGTCAGCTTCACTTGCACTGGGGTTCCTCTGATGACCATGGCTCTGAGCATGTTATAGATGGGGTGAAATATGCAGCAGAGGTAGGACCTATTTTAAGTAGTAGTATCCAGTACTAACTGGAATTTGTCTGATTGTGCATCTGAACAGATTAACCATTCTCCCTTTTGCAAGTATTTATGTTTTTTTTCTCTAAAAGCTATGAAACTTGTGAGTATTCGCCGGCATGCAGTGGGCCAGATTGCATCTGCCAACAAATGTATCTTTGCAAGTGTATACTAACATGGAGTTTGCTTCTTCAAGCAAGAGTTTTTGCTGGTATTTTAGAACATATTAAAAATATTTGAGAAAAAATGATCTGTTATTTCCAAATAAGAAGATCTGTTTTCTGCTGATTTTTTTGGGCTTTTGCCATTTCTGATTCAAGCCATAG